AACCTCCATTATCATTGTCATTATTTAAAGAATTATATATTTCTCCCTCTTCTCTTATTCTCATTCACATTCTCATCTTCGTTTGCATGTATTTGTGATAGGTAATCCAAGAGTAAGAATGCCATGGGGTAGAATACAAAATGATAAAACAGCTCCAAATTATCGGTAGGCAATAATTTTTTGAAAATATTTATTTATTTTGAAAGTATTCCAACACTTTGTTTAATTTTGTATATATATATATAATAGACCTCAACTATACAATTCTTTAAATAATGACAATGATAATGGAGGTTATTTGCCAAATACAAATATGTATTGACCGGCTTCATAAAACATGTTGTATTTGATGGTTATTTTCGTTATATCATTTTGAATTGTTTCTAATTTTATAATTTTTGCATTTTTCTTTGAGAGATAAAATCTGATCGAAACATCAATCGAGTAAAGAAGAATTCCGATTATTTCAAAATAAAAATTTTCCGAAACATGAAAAATATTTGCAATAACAAAAACTATGAATCCAATAATATGTGCCCAATAAAAAAATTCAAAATATCTTCTTCTAAATATTGAAAGAGAAGTTAATCCCAATAGTGCTAATGAAAGAAAAGCTATAAAGCCTCTTGTACGAACAGTGCTTCCAAATATTGCTGCGGTTAGATTACCGCCTGCTTCATATCCTTCTTGTATATGACCCATGCCATGAAACATTATACAAAAAATTATCATTCTACCAACCCATCTATGGAATTTAATAATACGTTCAAAAGGTATACCCAAAAATGTTAAAAATATAGAGTTACGAGAAGCTAACGGAAATATAAAAGCTGCATTTGCCACACCAATCCGACCAGCTCTATTGTTTAGGTTAGTCGGGAAGTTGGCATTTGATGTTTGAAACGGATGAAGAAAGAAAAATAAATTAAAAAAAATGAAAACGAATAAAAGAATAATTTCTCCAACACTCATATCACCAACACTTGTAACATGGATCGTAGTATTCCATATTTTGTGAAACCACACGGTTATGAAAGAATGGATCGGAGCGATATCAATTCCTTCTTCGTTTTCTTCTAATATTTCTTCAGCTATTGCTTTAAGTTTTTCATTCAAGTTATTGTTTATTTGTCTTTTTCTACGTTGTAATAAACATTTAATTTGTGAATATTGATATGGAATTGCTAAAACGATTATTAAACCAATAACAGTTGATACATAATAGTAAGCAGCTGAAGAATCAGGTGAAGCATCCATTTCTAATAATTTTTGATTTTTTTAAAAGTATCCAAATATATTTAATTATATATAAAAGACTGATGCAATTAAAACAATTAATTGTATCGATGATGAATAATGCATTTTTAGATCATTTTGATATTTTTTAAAAAAAATTATATATAATTTAAGGCTGTGAAAATTTTGATATAAGCCACACTCGCGTACAAAACTTTTTTTGATATCTTTAATTCTAAGCCATTATTTAATTATTCCGTTTTTGATCATTCTATTTATTTTTTTTTATACTCATTCTCTCTCTTTCACAAAAAATATTATTTTTTAATTTTTTTAATTAATAAAGTTGAAATTTTTTTTGAAACAATCTACAATTATATAAACGCAAAAATAAATATATAAATATTAAATATGAGGAATATTTTCAATATTTTCAATATTATCTTCTTCATTTTCACAACATTAGCTTACACAACATTTTCTTATCCTCGAAGGTCGCCAACTTGCGACGTTTATCAAATGGTCAATGGAGACCACGGAGCATATTTTGTTAATAATACGGGTGGATATTCCTTAACTCAAAAAAGAAGCTTAGACGGTAAAATTGAAATATCAATAATTGGAACAAATCCAATTAAAGGTTTACTTATTTATGCACATGATGCAATCGGAAATCGGTTTGGTAATTTCGAAACAAAAGTTGCTGGTGTTGCAGCTAAAAGCGACTGTGGTGGAGTTGGTTTATCAAACACAATGCAACATAGTGATGACACTTTAAAGAATTTGCCGTTGACTTTCACTTGGTCACCAACTCCAGATGCAAGTGCAGAAATTGTACATATTGAAGCGTTAATTGTTATAGAGTTTAGAAGTTGGTATATCTTGAAGAAAATAAGTTTCAACTATCTGGATCCAACTTCATCTATTGATACTACTGACTCGAACACTCTACCAACAATTCCAACCACCTCTATAAACAATAATGACAATCGTTTCTTTGGTAGATTTGGTTTTTTTTCAATAGTGTTCACTTTTGCTTTATTAGTTTATTTCATTGGCGCATTTGTTGAATATTTATTAAAGAAGCAAGATATTAAAGCAAGAACATCTTTAAAATCTTGATAATTTCTTTTATTTTGTTTCCAAAGAATATTTTAATATAAATATGTAAATATTATTATATGCATTACTATTACTATGTAATTAACAACCAGTTGAAAAACTGCTCAAAAAATTCGTGTTACAATTATTAATTAAAAGTAGCCAATTAAATGTTGACACTTTTTTATATAAATTTTAATATTTTTTTTTTTTATAAATTTTTTTTAATAAATATTTTTCAAAAAAAAAAACTAAAAATGACAAATTTTCTTACAATCTTTTTTTTTATAATTTTAATATTGAATCAATCATTTTCTGGTATAGTTTTATATGAGAATTGAAATTTTGATATTTATGATTTGATTTGAATTGAAAAGAAAAAAAGGAGTAATTGTTTTATTATTTTATCTCGTCAAAAAAATAAAAATAAAGTTTTTAGTGAAGAAGAACAAAAAGCATTTATCTCTCCTAAGCAAATAGAATTAAGTGGAAAATTTGTAGACAATCCATTTAATCGTAAGTAAATCTGTCTACCTATCAGTATATCTGCTGTTACTATTATATAATAAATTCATTTTTACATATAAATACTTTGCATTTAGAGGTAGTAAATGGACAAAAGAACACAGTTAAGATTACCTTTGATAATAAGGGCGAACTCAATTATACTATTACCGTAATATCGGGGAGATTGGTTAATCCAAGTAATCACGATGAAATATTTCGTAACGTAAGAATGTTCATAATACATTAATGAGGGAATGAAAAATATAATAAATCATAATAATCAATAATAATCATTTCATATAATAATGATTTCATAATTTGAATAGTTGACAGGTATTAAATATAGTCTTCCAGTGCCACCGATGGATCATGTTGAAGTTTCATATAGTTTTTATTCAGAATTTCAGCCACAAGAATTAGATCTTATTATTAATGTTTTCTTTACCGACAAGGTAAAAACGAGAGAGAGTTTGTGTATATATACATATATAATTATAAATTAAAATTGGTTTTGTTTTATTTAGGATGGTAAAATTTATAGTGGTGTTGGTTATAATTCAACTGTAACAATTGTTGAACCTGAACAATCTATTTTTGATTTACAATTGTTAGTATATTTATCATCATCATCGCTATTATTACTATTACTATTAATTACTATTACTGTTTTTTATTAATAATAGTATTGATACTATTTTTTAGGATTATTCTATATTTATTATTATCAGGAATTTTTGGCGCAATAGCATATACAATTTATAAAGCATTCTTCGGAACTAAAACTAAGTCTAAAAAATCTAAAAAAGTAAATTATCAGTATTATTATTATTATTAATTATTATAATAATAGTAACTACAACAACAACAATATTATTATTATTTAGCGTGTTACTAAAGACGATGATGATGCTGCTGGAACTGCAACTGGTTCAACTGCAACAACTAGTAATGCAACCTATGATGAAAGTTGGATTCCTGAACATATTTTAAAATCATCACAAGGTCGTACTTCATCTCGTAGTAAAAAGAAAAGTTAATTTATTATATGGATGATGAGTGGATCGATTGATGATGAATGATGAAGAATGGAAGGGGGAGGAAGGAGGGATTATTATTATGGAATACTAGTGATAATGGATGATTTTTCTTATTTCATTATTTTATATAGTGAAGAAATACAAAAATATCTTTCAATTAGACCTAATACTAAATAAAAATAACATATATATATTGTGTGGATCAATAATATTTTTAAAGTTAGGGTATTTTGTATTCATTTACAACGGTAAACATGAAATAAAAAATTATATAATATGGTCAGTAAAATTTCAAAATCTATCTACCAATTTTTAGCTACAGTCATAAAACAATAACATCAAGTGAAAGCTTGAGACTTACTCTTTCACTTAATGCGCTTAGATTTTTCATTTTCATTTAATTGTTTTGTTTTATTTTAAACCATTTTTGTAAAATTTTTTAGCAAACAAAAATAAGCTGAAATAAAAATTTTGTTTGTTAGAATCTGCAACATTATTTTTTTTAACATATTTGACCCCACGTGCGACCCATGTAATAATTATGGCTCTGTGCTTTGTAACCTTTTATATTTTTCTCCTACGAAAATGAATTAATATGGCACGCCAGAGTGGACAAAAGTTTAAAGCTGAATCTCAAGCAATCATCCCTTTTAAAATATATCAAATTGCTCCAATTGGTTAGTTTATCTTTTGAATTTTTTTCCTGAATCAAGTATTTCTTAATTAAACTTTCTTTTCTTTTAAAACTTTTGATTTATTTTACTTTCCTTTTATAAATTATTCATGTGATGGCCGTTATTAGAAATTTGTTTACATAAGCTTTCTAATCTTATTTATTGTCTTTGATTTTTTTTATTGAGGATAAATCCCAAGCACTTGTGAGATATTCTCAAGCTTCACAAAAAATATCGATACCAAAGATGGAAATTTTTTTCTAATCCACAAGTCACACTTTAAACTTTTGTCCTCGTCAGCTGACCATAAAAATTTCTCATGCTGCGATAAATCATTTTGTGTCACGAAACATTCGGGAGACAATCTATCTATATATAATAAATGATTTAAATATAAATATCAAATGATTTATACATTAGCAAATACAGTATTAAAAACCAAAAAACCCCTTTTCAAAAAATCTATAAAATGTCTACAAGATTTTTAAAAAATTTAACAAAAGAATATCAATCAATTTTGCAATCAGGGGATTATTATGATGTGGTGATAGATGTCGGAGATGATGATGATAGAAAAAGATTTAAAGCACATTCAGTAATTTTACGTACAAGATCAATGTATTTTCGTAGTGCTTTATCATCAAATTGGGTTAGGAAAATCGACGACGATAAATTTTACTTTAGAAAACCAAATTTTTCAACATTTGCATTTCAAAAAATTTTAGAGTAAGTGTTAAATTTTTTGATTTTTTTAAAAAAGTTATAATTAATGTTAACTCATATACACGCATCATATATCTTATATAGATATATTTACAGTGGTGATATAAAATTAAGTGAAAATGATGGTATAATTGTATATTTAGATATAATAATTGCAGCAGATGAATTATGCTTGTCATTATTGGTCGAATATTTACAAGATCGAATAATATCAAAGAAATATCAGGCAATTAAAAACAATTTATGTTACTGTTTAACAATGACAAATCGATATCAAAATCTAAGTAAATTATATTTACATTTTAATTCATTGATGAAAAATAGAGCACATATGATATTTCAATCTTTTGATTTTAATCTGTTGGATAAAGATATTTTAATATCATTGCTGAAATCAAGTGATCTAATGATGGATGAAATTGATGTGTGGAAATGTGTTATTAAATGGTGTTGTCTCCAACAACCAAACCTACCTTACCCAAACAATTTAAAACAAAAAGATTTGGAAGTTTTAAAAATCAGATGTAGGGACTTTCTCCCATTTATAAATTTTAATCATATTTCAAAAAATGATTTTATTTCAAATATCAAGCCTTTAAAATCTATTTTCGATCCAGAGTTTTTTGAGAAGATTGATGATTATTATAATCTAGCTAGCAAGAATTCTTTAATTCATTATAATTTATTATTGTCAAAGCGTCGAGGAATCAATTCAAAATTAATCGGAATCTGCCAATTGTATTTGATATCAGATTGGTTGGATGGTCTAACACCATCGTCAACATATTTACGATCACCATCATCATCGTCAATTCGTTCTTGGACAATGCCATATGAATTGAAATTGATATTAAGAGGAAGTGAAGATGGATTTACACCAAGAACATTTTATCAAAAATGCAGTAATATAAATTCAACTTTAATATTAATTAAAACATCAGCATATGATTTATTTGGTGGTTATAACCCTTTAAGTTGGTCTTCAATAGCATTTAAAAAAATCAAATCCAAGAAAAGTTTTATTTTTAGAATGGATTTATTCAATAATCAAATTCTTAATACAAGATTAAGTAGAGTGAAGCTTTCTCATCACGAACATGCATTAATAAATGATCCTAAATCGGGCCCTATTTGGAATAGTGGATTGAGTTTATACAGTAAAAATATTAATGAGAATTTTGTTTGTAAAGTATTTAATGGAAAAGAACAACATTATGAAAAAAAACTTTTATATAGTAAACAAGAACTTCAAAGAGGTATGTGTACATATAATATTGATGAAATTGAAGTATTTCAAATAATCAAAAAAAAAATTTTATGTTAAATCACATTATTAAATTTATTAAAATAAATAAAAATGAAATACAATCATACTTTTTTTATATTCCCCCTTTTGTATCAGTACTTTTGTGGGATATAATTGAGATCATTTCACGTGACTTTTAAATTTAAAATAAAATTTTATTCAATATTAATATCAATAAATTCTGTCAACAAGACTGATGTTTTGCTTTATCTGCAGAACTATTTAAACATTTTATTAATTCACGAACATACTTAACATCTTTTTTTGTAACAAATTCTTGTTGCTCTAAGAATCTTTTTGCAGTTTCAAATGCTTTCCTTTCTCCCTCTATAGAAATAATAGATTTCAGTTTTATGAATTTATAAATTTTGAGATTTTATTTTTATTATTCAATTCTTAGTATAAAAAGTAAAAAGAAATATAGTTGTGAAACGATATAAATTAAAATAATTATGTGAACATTTTTGAATTCATGATTTTATGATTTATTAATTTTATGAGTTATTTTTATTATTGTTTATTTCTTCCTTTTAACAGTTTGGAAAGAACGATTTTCTAAATTCGTGAATGTGTACATATTATGCCTAAGTCAAAACCAAGTTCTTTTATACATGTAAAAAAGATACTTTGCCACAACTGTGAAAAAAAGGATATTTTTTTTTATTGTTAAAAGAAATCAGCCATGACTTTCTTTTTTGTTAAAGGAATCAACCAACCCTATAAAAATTTTTTCCACAAAATGTATACATTTTCTGACTAAATTTTTTATAGGGTTGCTGAGTTATATAATATAGTTACAGTTACGTCATATCTATATTGTATCCACCCCGGGTCAGGAAGCAAAATTATAAAATGCCAGAAATTCCAATAAAAATTTATAATGACTAATAATAATAGGATTCCGGTATAAATGGTATACACTGTTGGTTGGTGTAAACTCGTTAAGTCAGTCTCGGATTTGGTCAAAACTTTCGCCCTTTTTTTCAATGTTTAAAATCTCTTGATAAGTTGGTCAATCTAACAAAATCGTGATAAGCTGTAACCCTATAATAATAAAAAAAATAAAATACGGAACAAGTACGTAATAGTAATAGTAATAGTAATGCAAAAAGTACGGAAAAGACGTACAAAAGGTGCGGGAAAAACATATAAAAAGTCCGGAAATTTGTTTTTGTTACATGAACTGTTTTCGGACTTTTCATATGTCTTTCCCGCACCTTTTGTACATCTTTTCCGTACTTTTTGCATTACGTACTTATTCCGTATTTATTTTTTTATTATTATAGGGTAAGTTGGCCAACCCTTCTTCTCACATGATGTTTGCATTGAAAGAGGTCATCATTACTATTTTTAGCAATGTGTCAAATGATCTGACGTAAAAAATTATATATTAATATATTATCTATTATGAACATTAATATTTTATTATCTAGTCAGTTATATCATTTTATCATTTTGTTAGTTACATAATTGATTGTAACATTTATTTTTATTGTCTCAGAAAACCCGTTTCTTTTTATATTGTGAACAATATATTATTATCTTGTTAGTTATATCATTGATTGTATCATTTATTATCTCAGAAAAAATGTTTCTTTTTTGTATCATGAACAATACATTTGTATTTTAAGTTATATCATTAATTGCATCATTTATTGTCTCATTTGATAATTTAGAAATCATTTCTTTTTTGTATCATAAACAATACATTTGTGTTTTTATTATATTTGTATGTATAAAAGGTTGATTTCACAATCTTATATAAAGATCAATGGAAATAAATATTGTTTTTAAAAGCCCCATTTACATTTATAAAACCCTTATAATTATGAATAATTTGATACTAAAAATTTAGTCATGTGTCTTTAATAATTCAATTCTCTCAATAAGTCAGTCCATCATGTCCAGCCATTTATGGCCAACTTATCAAGTTTACCTATGTACCACTACATTTGATAAGGGGATACCACTACCAAAAATTGTTAGAGATAAATAATTACCTAGTTCTTTAATTGAATGGATCCTTCCACAAACATTATAAAAATGAAAGGATTCTTAAATGTGGAATTTTTTCATTTTTGTATATACAAAATTATTCAAAAATTTACATTTAATTTGTGAGATAAAAAATTTGACACTAAAAATCGAATAGTTTTTCTACAATCACTTTCAATTTTCATCAGATAAACTGACAGAGATTTTGCACACTCTCTATATAAAAAATTCAAACTTACATTGTTGATTAGAAAATTCCTGTCTAATCAGGAATTTTTGATGCTAATTTGTAATTAAGGATACCGGCTGCAACTTTTGATGATGGTTGCTACCACCTTTGCGTCATATAAAAATGATTGCAACCACTGGTTGCAACCACCTTTACGACCATTTTGTTTCCTTTTTTGGATTGCGACATGGAACACTATTTGTAATTACAGTCATACAGTGTGTCATGAAAAAAAATGACAATATTGCTTTTAATAAAAAAGCATCCAAAATCATCTTGGATTATTATGTATAAAAATTTTGATGTATTATTATATAGGCTTTAGAGCAATGATTACATTAAAATTTTTTTTTCAAAAATAATCAAATTTCTTTTATTCTTAATTGATAAAATTCTGGAGTCATGATAATTTTCAGAACTTAAGCTAAAATTGATATGATTTTTTTGTATGATTATTATGTATGCTTTTATGCTAGAATCACTATTAAAAAATCCCATGTTAAATTTTAGAGACAAAAATTTAGTAAAATTTGAAAAAAAAAGATGTGGATCAGCTTTAAAAAAAAACTGACAATAGTATTTCATGTTCATTTTTTTATTTAATAGAGTAATTGATGGGATTTTAAATGAATCAAATTTTATTTAATTATCTTATGTATTTGTTGAGCAATTCAATTTTTATCTGTGCCATTTTTTTGTGACACACTGTATCTCTTTTATATCGCCCCTTTTGTATTGATAACTTTGGTGGGATATAATTGAGGTGGGATGTATCTCAAGCAGTTGATCATTTCACATGATTTTTAATTTAAAATAAATTTTGTTTTATTCAACATTAATAAATTCTGTCAACAAGGATTGTCTATAGAACTATTTAAACATTTTATTAATAATTCAACAACATACCTAATATCTTTTATGTAGTTGTTCCAAGATCCCTTCTGCAGTTTCAAATACTTTCCTTCTTTCTTATAGAAATAACTGGTTCCTTTTTACCATTTCCTCTCCCTCTTCCATTTCAACATTTTCAGATTGCCAGACACCTTCTGAAATGAGAATATCTTCAACAATATTTTCGTCAGTAGGCAATTCAGTTGTTATAATATCTGATTCAATTATTTGTTGTTAAAGGAATCAACCAAGTTACCACCAAAAAAAAAAGAATAATTCATAATTAATTTCTTTGTTGTTTGTTAAAGGAATCAACCAAGTTGCCACTAAAGAAAAAGGGAATTAATTTCTTCATTGTTAAAGAAATCAACAGAATAATTTCTCTATTATTATTAAATGTTAGGTATACTTGTATATCATGTACAAATAAGGTTAAAATTGGGATATAATTTGCCAAAAAAGTGGGGATAGAGATATAACTCAATTGGAATATAAATGAGGTAAAGTTTATATAATGCAAGTCACTTAGTCCCACAACTTTCTATTGGTCATTTTGGGTTTTTAAAAAAATTGCCACCATTCAATTCAGCTTTAAAAAGGAGTCAATTCATGTAAAAAAAAAATTGCCTCGAATTTTTTTATGGATTTTTTTAAAATTTGAGAGTATTTTTGCGTTACAATATTTTGAGTTGCATACCATCTATACTCTCCAAAAATGTAGATCAGTCTGAGATTTTAAGCAAAGATCTTCACGTGATTAATCACGTTTTTAGAATTTTATTGGCTGATAAAGAATTATAATTAAGGGCAGATGAGAATGATTATTTCAATTATTATTATGATGATGAGGGTGATTATGGTGATGATTTAGTAAAAACATTCAATAATTTAATAAATCAAATTAAAGGTTTGACTTCATTCTATTTAATTAATTTAAATATTTGTTTATTAATTAATATTATAAAATTAAAATACTTATGATTCTCTCCTTGTGTTACAATTGTATAGTTGGTGCAAATATCAGTGTAAGTAATGTATAGAGTGCAGATGTGAATGGTGGTGGTTAGTTAGTAAAACAAAGATTTATTTATATAAATTCAAACCAAATTTAAGGTTTAATTCTACTCAATCTTTCCATAACATTATCTTGCAAGATTTATATTTCTTAATAGCATATTCCGCTAATTTTCCACTAACTCCTTTTCTATAAAGGTCCATATAGCACAACACTTTCTTGAAAATTTTCTAATTGTCACTAAAGATACTGACTCAAGACTCTCAAGTACCATTTTTAGTAATCCTTGCCAAGAGTAATCACAATTTTATATTGCTTTTTCTTTTAAGATGAGGTGCGTTTTTGTTAATCAAAAATAATAATTAATACAAGCGATAAAAAATATTCATTTATTGGCCAGAATTTTTCACGTGATAAAATGATCAACAATAGGTTCCGATTGGTAATGATCAACGTCCGAAATTTGAAAATTTGTTAATAAAACTGACTATTTTTAAACACTATCAGCTCCCCCGCAATTAAAAAATTTAATCCATGGATGAATTCGAAAGAGAATCATTTAGGCTATTGTTTTCACGGTTTATTTTTTAAAATTTTTCAAAATTGGTGGACTAGATACAATTAAAAGTTATATGAAAATTTTGTATGAGTATAGATGGTACGCACCCATATGAAAAAAATTTTGTTAAGAGTATAACAAAATTTGGAATTTTCAAATGCTAAGGCTCTGTCAATTTTTAGTTTAAAAAAAAGCTAGCCGATAAGATTTGAAGCTCGAGTCATGAACAATAACTTATCGGTTAACTTTTTTTAAAATGATACTATAAGCAATTAATTGATTATAGACGATCTGCACCAGTCAAGATTTTTCCGGAAAAATTACTTAAAAAGGAAAAGATATCTGTAATTTATCATTATTAAAATTTTGCTGGAAAGTCCGGGAAAATTATTAGTATTTCACTATTATCCTGACTGCGATTTGTTTCTTTAGTTTTATCTATGTACAACATTATTTAATTATGTTACACACTATTTAAACATAAAAAAAAAATTTCTTTGTCATCCAGTTCCCATTTTTTTATTGTATAAATATGATTTGATATTTTTATTAGTTATAATAAATCTTTGTTATAGTTTATTATTATGTAAAAAAACAAATTGAACCTTTTTGTTGGCACAGCCCATTTACGAAGCATCATATTTAGCTTTATTACACAGAGAGCAAGCCAATCCAAAAAAAAATTTGAAAATTCATTGTTGAATAAAAAGTAAGATAAAAGATCCTGGTTCTTATTAATTAATGATTTCATCTACACAGCATCAAGAATTCTCTTGTGTGATCTATACTTTTTTTTTTACTAAAATCCCTTCTTGTAACGTACATGTATATCCAATTTTTTATACGAATTGTTGTCAATGATGCCTTTTCTTCAAATCGATTTGTAAATTGATTTTTAGAACGATTTTAAGATTTTTTCAAAAGAATTGAACAAACGCGTTGTTACACAGATTTACTCTAATCTTATATATAGCTAAATAATTTCGTGTTGGTTAATTACTATTACTGGATAATAATTATTTTTTTTGACTTTTGCTAAATTTGGTAAATTAATCTTTATTAAATAAATATGCTTTATGATCGTGTAACTTCGTTCACCCAAAGTAATTTCTTTTTGTAGCTGTAATATATTATATGCATACATCTATGTAATATTCATTAAGTTTCTTTCTACTCTTTGATTTACTAAAGTACACAGAATATGATATAAAAGGAAGATGTTTTACACGTTAATAAATAATGTTGAATAAAATATAAATTTGTACAATTGTGTCATATAGATTTAACTATTTCATCATAATCTATCTCGAGATAAAAATTTCTAAAAAAAAATTATTATTTTTTTTTCTTTCATTAATTAATTAATTAATAAATTAAATTATTGTTTTTTTTACATTATTAAATAATTATAATATTATTAATAATAATGAATGATAATGAATATTATTTTAAAAGATATTCTCATAATGTAACAACTAAAGCAATTTCAGTCGTTGACTCTTATTTCCATTATTTTAAAGAAATACTTATTTCAAAATCATGGGAACCTTTGATTCATTTTGGTATATAGATTATAATTACTAACAACTATAATTACTATAATCAAAAAATTTTAATTACTAGTTTTATTTACAATATTAAATTTATTATATTTATGCGAACAATTTTTCATTCAAGCTCAAAACACTCTTTTATCTTTAATGGCACGAATTGACCAAGGTCATCTTCGAGTTTTAACCCAAGACCGCATTTATGAATTTGGTCCTAAAGACGCTAAATTAAAAAGTGAAATAAAAGTTGTTAATGATTCTTTTTGGATTCGTTTATTATTATTGGGAGTTCTTGTAGGTTTAATTAATGGTTTTATATTATTTCACATGTTGGATTATCAAAATAGAAAAATTCTAGAAAGGGAATAGAATAAAAAATCTATTCACATGACAACATTAAACCTTTTTTTATTATTAATTTTAGGGGTTTGGTGAAGCTTATATGTTAGGCGATGTAGCTTGTGATGATTTGATGACTTTAATTAAAGTAAATAAATTATTAGTTAATTTGATTGGTTGATTGATTGATTGGTCATCAATTGAATTAATTCACATAATGTTTTTTTACTTAGGTTTTTGTTGCAAATAGGTCAAATATTGATGATTTAAGTACATTATCATCTTATATTTTCAGTGCAATCAATTATGTCACAAATTCACGATTTGCAAACACAATCAGCAATGCAATAAATAATATATCAGCTCATTATGATATTTCTAATGAAATGTTTGCGGCTTTTCTGAGTAGTGATATGACATATTCAAGTGCCGTATTTCTAAATGAAAATGATACATTAGAAGAAGCCCAATGTAGAAAATTGAGAATGATGATTGAAAAAGCAAAGATCACCAAAGATGATCATGTCTTAGAAATTGGTAGTGGTTGGGGCTCTTTTGCCATCCAGGTATTTATTTAATCGTATATAATCATACATATACAATAATGATAATAATAATAATATAATTTCAGGCTGTTAAAACAACTAGATGTCATGTTACGACATTAACATTATCAGTTGAACAGAAAATTTTGGCTGAAGAAAGGATAGCAATGGAAGGATTATCAGATTATATAACAGTATTATTATGTGATTATCGTTCACTACCAGCAAATCATCAATTTGATAAAATTATTAGTATCGAAATGATTGAAGCTGTTGGTCCACAATATTTATCAACTTATTTTGAATGTTGTGATAAATTTCTAAAAGAAAAAAATGGAATAGGAGTATTTCAAGTTATCACAATGCCAGAAACGAGATATGATAGATATTGTAAAGAAGTTGATTTTATAAGAAAATATATTTTTCCAGGTACTATTATAAATAAATAAATAAATAAACGAATATATATATATACATAATCTAATTTATATAATCTAATCTAACAAATATATAGGGGGACATTGTCCAACAGTTACATCTTTAACATCTGCGATTCAAAAAGGTTCTAAAGGACGACTAATTGTTGATCATCTTGAAAATATTGGTCCACATTATGTACGTACATTGAGATTATGGAGAGAAAGGTTTCTTCAAGCTTTTGATGAACATATACATCCAGCTTTACTTAAAAGTTGGCCAAACATGACACCAAAAGAAGTTGAAATATTTAAAAGAAAATGGGAGTTTTATTTTGCTTATTGTGAAGGTGGTTTTGCAAGTAGAATTTTGGGTAATGTACAAGTTGTTGTAACTAGGGAAGGTAATGAAGATTTCTTGAAAGATATACCGTTATAAAATAAATAATTTTCTTAATGAGATTATAGTCGTTTATTTGTATTATTTTGTTCAAGTATTTTTGCTAAAGTACCAATAAATGTAGCACAATATAAATAATCACAAGTGATCATCGTAAAAAAAAAAAAACCTCAAAGATGTCTAATAGTTTTTCATCCTTAGAAAATGTTAACAAGTTATTTAACAATCTTATTAATTCCAATAAAGATACCTTACCTTTAAAACATATTCTCAAACTTGTAAATGATCTAGCAGAAATGTTGAGTGAATCAAAGTTTTTCGATATAGAAATAAGAGTTGGAGTGGACCAGGATGTTAAAACTTTTAAAGCTCATTCCAATATTTTAAAAACAAGATCATCGTATTTTAAAACAGCTTTATCAGATAATTGGGTAAAAAGATCTGATGAAGGTATTATTTTATTTCAAAAAGAAAATATTTCTCCAAAAATATTTGAAGTTCTTTTAATGTAAGTTTATTGATTGGTGTTTTTTTTTAAATATCATATAAATATTAAGATTCTAAAATTATTATTATTATATAATTTTATTCTTTAAAGATATATTTATAATGGAGTTATTAATATTGATAATCTAAAGCCAAATGAAATATTTGAACTTCTTGAAGCATGTGATGAATTATGTTTTAATGAATTTATTGATGCTTTACAAGTTCATTTATTGAAAGAAGGAAAAGAATGGATTCAACAAAATTTAATTTATCTCCACAAAGTTTCATCAAACTATCAATCATTCACTTTACTTCGAGATTATTGTAGTGAACTAATTTGTAAAAATCCATTCTTATTTTTAAAATATGATAACATGGCTACAATAGGAAAGCCTATGCTTTTATATATTTTACAAAGAGATGATTTGGAATTAGATGAAATTAATGTTTGGAATTATGTGATCCAATGGGGAATAAAACAAAATGAAGAATTGGAAAAGGATATTTCAGAGTGGAATAAGGATGATTTTAAAGAGTTAAAATGTATACTAGAAGATATCATTCCATTAATAAGGTTCAATGAAATCACATCAAAAGAATTTTATAAAAAAATTGCACCATTTAAAAAAATTTTTAGTAAAGAAGTTTTTAAAGAAGTTCTTGAATATTATCTTTGTGATGATTGGCAACCAAGGTTATTACTTCAAAAAGGTCCAAGAACAGGAAAAAGAAATGGAAATTTATTAAATTCACAAATGAAAGCATTGATCTCTAGTTGGATTGATGATAAAAAAGACTTATATAATGAAAATAATATCCCTTATGTTTTTAAATTGATTCTTTCTAAGACAGAAGATGGCTTCTCTAGATCGATTTTTGAAGAAAAATGCTATAATGTTGAACAAACAATTATTATAATGAAAATTAAAGATACAGGAGAATTTATTGGTGGGTATAATCCTGTTTATTGGAATATAAAAGGAAAATCTCCAGATGAAAAGTATTATATTGAAACCAACAAAAGTTTTATTTTTAAGATTGGTGAAAATCAAGTTATATTGAGTAGAGTCAAAAACTCTAAATATGCAATACATCATATTAAACCAGCTATCAATATTACTAAAGATAATATAATTTTTAATGAAAGGTTGATAGATTTTAATGATTTAGAAATATGCAATAGCATTGATAATGAACCTTATTGTTTTTATTGTTTTTATGGAGATGTTTATGAAAATAATTTGCACCTTGGAAAAAAATATAAAGAGGTACATATGTTGGAAGAATGTGAAGTGTATCAGATAGTAAAGATGAGTTAATTACAATATGTAAATTTTTGATATTTTTTTTTTTCAAAATTAATTAGAAGTGTTATTTAGTTAATAATTATTGATTGATTTCTTCATCTTGTTCCTATCATTATTGAGGTCTTCTATTTACTAACAGAAGAATGTCTTTTTAAAAAAAATATCCTGTTCTAGTTTTCTTAAATCAAGAAAGTATTTATATCTAAAATGTAAATTGTCTTTCAAGAATTCCTTTTGACAACTGTTTTTTTGGTAAATTTTCTTTATAATGGTTTATATCATGATCCATTTCTATTTGTTCTTCAGGATTAATAATTTGATCATCTATTATTTTATTTTTATTATAAATATTTAAGTTTTCTATTTGTTTTTAGACAATGTTTCAGTTTCATGATCACTTTTTTCTGTTTCATCATGACTTTTTTTACTTCATTGTGAGTCAGTTCAATTCAATTATTTGTAACTGAATTAGGTAAAAACCACTTTTTTATTTAGAAACTGCCAAAGAGTATCTTTAATGTCCAAATAATAATAATAATAGTCCAGTATCAAATGAAGTAATTCAAATTCATTAGATATATATAGTAGTAGAGATGGTTTAAATGCAGCTACATTTCATTAATATCAATAGAACTCTTGCATTTGGCAAAATACAAAATTCAGATCAATTACTGGGGGGTTATAACCCCACTTAATTGGAATTTAAATAATGGAGCTTGTACACCTAAATATACAACTGAGAGTTTTATTTTTAATATTAGTAATAGAAATGATGTTAATTTTGCACAGTTTAGTTATGTTATTAGGAATTCTCAATGCAATTTGCTGTTATCCTCTATTTTTGGTGGTGGTTGTGATTAAAGCTTCAAATGGTTCAAAGCTTTAGGCTAGAAACTACTTGGCAGTCCCTGGTATTCTAATTTTTGCATTCTGCTTATTTAGAATTAAATTTATTGATTTAAAGGATCTCTACCTTGCCACAAGTTATTAGTTAACAAATTTAGAATATTTGTAATTTTTGGGTCAAATGTAAACTGAAAAATTAAACCAAACTGTTTGGAACTTTGATTGTGATCTTGTTTTTATATCAAATGATATTGTTAATATTGTCAATAATAGGTCCAACAGTTATAGTTAAAGATTATATTTTAAGTATTTTTTAATATTTATCTTTTAAATATCCTCAATAATAATGATTATTATTTATATACCATACCCTGGACAAAAGTATTTAATCATTTATAACCAATCTCATGTTGCTTAGGTTATCTAAATCAATTAAAAGGTTGTTGTTTTCATAAATAAAAATAAAATAGTAATAAAATCTAGCATCTAGTTGGCTGCCAATTGTTAGAACCTTCTCGTTTTTTGAGGTCAGGTGGTTGTGAAAGCCAATCAGATAATATTTTCCTCAAATTTCAGTTATTTACCCCAAAATTCTAATGTAACCAAACCGATTCATCTTCTAAAGGGCCCTAAACCACCATGTTTTATTGACCTCTTTGCCAAACATGATTTAGTTCATCATTACTAAATATAGTAAATTGAGACTCATCGTCCCACTGACTTCCATTTCCTAACACTCCGACTTCTTTTCTCCAAGCACCACCCTAAATGTTTCTCTCTTTATTCATTGGCTAAAGAAGTTTTACTGCTGCAACACGCGAATAAATATTAAGTTCATACGAAATACTATGAATTGTTTTAGCAGAAACCTCAATTCTATGAATTCCTCTCAGCAGAAATACGATTATTTCTTCAAAATTTTAGGTCTTCTACTTTGTGGTGTACTTTTAACATCATCAGTTATCGTGTATTGGACAGCTATATAAGGAGTTTTTAGCATCTTCTCATAGGATCCTACTTAGACCAAGATTTCAAATTCTGCATTTTTTACTTTTGTGACATATTAAAAGGGAAAAATGTTATTTTGGATGTTATTACTAACTTATAATATAAACATAATAGAATATGAATTTTCACACGTTTATTCTCTGAAACCACAGCTATTATTTTTTATAAATTTTATTAAAAAAAACTCATACACATCAAGACCTAAGCTACTTAATGATATAAATTTTATTACGAATTCATCATGTAAATGTGTATGTTTTTGTCAAAGTCTGGCTTTTTTCAGAGAACTGAAAGATCAGTTTTTGAAACCAGTTAATTGGTACACAGATACACAGTGAGTCTCGGTTTAGCAGACCTCGATTTAGCGGATTTAGGGGTTTAATGGATAAATTTTCAAAACCAAAATTTTCTATACCTATTTTACTCGATGGATATTTTTTTAAAATCCATATTACTTATTATTATGATAAATTTCTCTCGATATTGCCTTTTTTGACTAGTTAGTTTTATAATCATAATAACGTAATTAATATTAACAACATCTCTAATGATACGAATAAAACAGCGATAAAACGAAATTTCTTATAGAAGTACCCAAGAAGCAAAACAATGACGAATTGACGAATCTATGAGTAAACGATAATATTAATACTATTGTTATTTTTTAATATTTATTTGATGTTTAATTTGTATCACATGATTTGATCATAAGTTTCGCTTTTGCGGATCTCTCGGTTTAACGGATAAATTTTCTGGAGACTCGCTGTGTATTTTAATGTTATAAAAAATGAATATATTCATGAATTTATTATATATCAAATATAAAATTGTGATTATATTAACTCATATGTCATTAAATCACTTGTTAAACTATGGGCAAAAGAGAAATTTGAATTGTGTTTGGATAGAATTAATTTTTATCTCTCTAGATGCTTTCGAACAAGGGAAATGTATATGCATAGAAAGAAATATTTGATAATTTAGAAATTCGAATTTCATCGAATGAATTTCATCATCATGCATATCACATATTTAGTGACCTTTTTGAATTGGCAAATAAAGATTCAGAGTTATAGAATTATTATTATTTGTCATCAAAATGCTATAAGCTGGTGAATGAATATTGATCTAATAAGTATAACGATATAAAATATTGATTATATATGATGAATATGATGAAAACTAAATCCTTTTGTTTACAAGTTCAATGATGATCATATATTTGCTGAATCTCACTGCTAAAAGATAATTTTCCTTTTTATTAATATATATTTTCGTGAAAAATTAAAAATCTAAAATATTTAATTACCTGAAATCTTCTTGCCATTAAAATTATTTGGAGTGTAATATAGCCCTTGCTTAAACATCTGGAACAACAAGCAGGTCTCCATCTTTTAGAAAGTCCTTTTGTCCACTAAATCAAAGCAAATCATAATATTAGTATGATGAACCAACGAACGAAAAAATAAATGTACACTCTTCAAATATTACACGCTACAATATTAGTTTCGTATACTGACTTAAAAGAGTATATATAAATATAATATACATATTATTTGATTAATTATTCTAGGATTGGTAGTATCGGTCAATTATAAACAAATGATTTTATTATAATAACCTTCTTTAAATCCAAAATAATAATAAAATAATAATAAATTTACATCAATTTCCTTTGCACAATCAACAACTATCTGTTGGATGTAATAAATTCTTTCTTTGGCCCTGTAAATAATAATCATTTGACAATCTATCAATTTCAACTAATATTCTAATGACATCCATCTTTTTATAAAACCACCACCATCACCAACATTTTTCTCATCAAAAATTATTAAATTATGTATTGCAATAACCGCGTAATATATTTTTAAATTTGTTAATTCAATGGTGGTATAAAGCCAATTAGTTTTTACGAACATAACTTCCAAGTTTGGGTTTAAGATCTAAACTATAGTGAAGGTAGAATTGAAGTCTGAGGAGTTGGCATTTTGATGAAGATGATAAAGTATTGGATGGCAATGATTCTTCTGATATTATAGGTTTTAAAGGTATTTTTGATGATGATTCAGATTTTGTTGTAATTGATTTGGGGAGCAAAAAAAATTTTTTTTCTATGACCATGCATGGTGTTACAGGACCCCGGGTTATTTATTTATTATATATATTAGAGAATTTGGCAGGTAAAGCAATTTTTATGTCATGTGAAATTATGAAAGAAAGTTTTGTGATTTTAAATAAATTTTCTAGACTGCTTATTATTATTGACAAAGTTTATTATTATTATATTCGGATATTATTCGAATATAATCAAATGACTAGCATCACTAATAAAATTCACGCATATGACATTTGGTCATAGCAGGTTGGTCTCTACGATAAACTTTAGCAATTTGATATCTTTTAAAATTTTGATATTGTGGCCTCATTAATTGCCAAAAAAACAAAAAAATAGAATAATTTTTAAAATAAATATTTTCATATAAACTTACAGTTAGATCATACTGTAACGAACAAAGTTCTTCGCCTTGATCTTTTAAATCAAATATCAATTTACCATCTTCACTATATTTACCAGATAAAATTTCTTTTGGCTCAAAAACTGGAGTGTCTATTGTAACTGCACCATGTTTTTTAACAATTGAAATAATATTTGATCTTTGTCATTTCTTTTTCGTTATAATCTTTAGAAAAGTTTCTAATCGGTTTTTTATATTCTACAATCAAACCTCGATAGGCCGAACCACTATAGGCCGATTTTCGCTTTATGACGATGCCAAATTGGTTAGCCAAAAACATAATTAAAATATCTTGTTAAGCCGAATTTGATATAATTTGATAAACCCCGAGCTTAAGATTCGTCTCATAATGATAAAATTCGGTTTATAACTACCTTAAAAGTAAATATCTACACATGAATAGTAATAATACTAATACTATTCAGTATCATAAACCGAATTTTGATAGGTCGATCGATTCCCAAAAGTTCGGTTTATCAAGATTTGACTGTATTATTAATTTAATTACCTTTGGTGTTTTTAAATGTAAAAAGCATGTTATTTTTACTTTTAGAACTCTCGTCAGTTAAAGAAAGATAACTGGTTCTTTAAATCAGTCAAAACTCCAGTTCTGTATCAATTAAAGTTTTATCAACATCTTGAGTTTTTAATAATCGAGTTGTTTCATCCTGTTCTTTAATTTTAAATTTTAATGTTTCATGTGTTTCATTCATAAATTGATAACTTTGTATGTTGAACATTTTGTGTGTTACATACGAAACATTAATATGAAAACATTTTTCCACTATTGCTTGCTATGGGATATTTAGATATGAAATTCTGATTGGCTAATTTTAATTTGATATAAATTTTGTAGAAATAAGATACTCGTGTAACTTCTACAAAATAATCCTCGCGACTTTTCTGATAGTATTTAAAAAAAAATGACTCTTCAAAAAGGTTAAAAAAAATTTATAATATTTTTAGCAGAAATTAAAATTTTATTTTAGTGTTAATTTTTTTTACTTATAACACAATAGATGTTTATATAGCCGCTTTTGCGAGAACTCCTCTTGGTGGTTTTAATGGATCATTAACTTCTTTTACAGCAACAAAACTTGGCTCCATTGCTGTTGAAGGTTAAAAAAATGGACAATTAATAATTATCAGCATAATATAATTGATTTTGTTAATAACTTTTTTTTAATTATTTACCAGCTGCCTTAAAAAAAGCTAACATTAGTCCCGAGCTTGTTGAAGAAGTCTTTTTTGGAAATGTTCTTTCTGCTAACCTTGGTATTAACTGCACCGAATGCATACAATTACTAATATATATGATTTTTAAATAAAAAAGTCTAAATAAATTTTTTATAAATAATATATTACTAGGTCAGAATCCAGCACGCCAAGTAGCTTTAGGTGCAGGTATCCCAGACAAAGTGATTGCCACAACAGTTAATAAAGTGTGTGCATCAGGTATGAAATCTGTAATTTTAGGTGCCCAAACCATTATCACTGGAAATGCTGATGTAAGTTAATTATTGAATATAACATTTAATAAATTTTGTATCTAGATTTTACTCAATTATATATACACATAATATGATAGATTATTGTTGCGGGTGGTACAGAATCTATGTCAAACACACCTTATTATGCCACAAAAGCAAGATTTGGTTCTAAATATGGGGATCAAACACTTGTTGATGGTATTGTAAAAGATGGCCTAACAGATGTCTATAATAGTTATCTTATGGGTGTTGCTGCTGAAGAATGTGCTAAAGATTATAGTATTACTCGTGAAGAACAAGTAAATAATGATAGTTATATTTATTGCATTAAAAATAATTTTCATTTTATTGTTTATAATGATTATAATTTTTATAATTTTTTAGGATGATTATGCTATTTATTCATATCAACGTGCACAAAAAGCATTTGCAGAAAATAAATATTCAGATGAAATTGTTCCAATAAAAGTATCTGGTGGTAGAGGTAAACCTGATAAAATAATTACACAAGATGATGAAGTTAATAATGTAAGCTAGTTTTAAATTTTTTTAAAATAAAAAATCCAGCAACACATGCTAATCATTTAAATATATCTTGTAAATGTAATAATAGTTAAATGTTGATAAACTGCGTGCTGTGAAGCCAGCATTCATTGATAATGGTAGTGTCACAGCTCCTAATTCTTCACCATTAAGTGATGGTGCAACAGCTATTGTTCTAATTAGTGGAGAGAAAGCTAAAGAGTTGGGTATTAAAGTTGTTGCAAAAATTTTAGGTTGGAGTGATGCTGCTCAGGTAAATTTATATTTAGTTGGTGGATGTTTATTTATTTATATAAATTATGATTATTTAATTAAAAATTGTTGTATAGGCACCAGCAAAATTTACAACATCACCATCAGTAGCCATACCAAAAGCTTTATCTCATGCAAAAAAATCACTTTCAGACATCGATTATTTTGAGATTAATGAAGCATTTTCTGTTGTTGCTTTAGCAAATTTAAAATTGCTTTCGCTAGATAAAGAAAAAGTCAATGTTTTTGGTGGTGCAGTTGCAATGGGTCATCCATTGGGTTGTTCAGGGGCTAGAATTATTGCAACTTTAACCAGTGTGTTGAAAGATAAAGATGGAAAAATTGGCTGCGCATCAGTTTGTAATGGTGGTGGTGGTGCTAGTGCTATAGTCATTTCATTAATTGAATAACAACTTTATCTGATATGACAAGATATTTATTTAAAATTTTAATTTATGCAATCCAAATATTTCATATTAAGAAAAACAAATGTAACTGAAACAATGTTACACATAAAGATTAAAAAATACCATTGGTGTTCTGAGAAAATTAAAAAAAGATCTGCATTTACTATTGTTTTAAACTTTAAATGCGTCATAAAAAATCAATGATCCCACTAATGAAGATAAAACATTGATTTGAAGAAGTCAAATAGTAAATAATATATTAGACTGTATAACAAAAAACCAAGTCTATGTATTAAAAACATTTAGATAAAGAGATATTATTATATTAATATTTTTATTTAGAATTTACTTAAGCATATATATATTCTTGCATCAACTTGAAATTCATTGAATATTTTGATTTTCAAATTGCGTAATGATCTTCAAGCCAATTATTGAGTGATATCTGAAAGGGAAATCATTACAAAATTTAGTCAATGAAATCGGGCAACTCGGGTAAAACACAAAATCTGCAATGGTCCATTGGGGTAACAACTGATGTCGATGTAGAAAACATGAAAGTGAGAGTTGCTTCTTCTGTTCACTCTGGAATAGTAGTTGTAGATATCAAAAAACAGGTATCAAATTTCTTAGTGAATGGTATTCCTGGCAAGTAGGGAACAATTTCCAATCCAAATGCTTTTGCATTGACAGTACATAAAACTCATTCATTAACTTTACATGACGTATCTCTCTTAGTCTCGATTCCCAAATATTTGCAGCAGGTCAAGCATATGTATCTCTAAGTCGTTGCACTGATTGGGAGAAGGTTAAAATAATGCACTTGCAAGGGAAGCATTTATTACTGATCAATCAATGGTAGCAGAATACGAACGTTTAGAAAGAATTTCTGCCAACTCGCTTCCATTTTCTGTACCTCGACAGTAATACTGTAATTGTAATAGAATTAATATTATCGTCATTGGCATGTAAAAACAAAATAAAAAATAAAAAAATTTTGTTGTTGTACGAATCACAAATCTCTCTATTTGTACTGGTCGGCTACGAAGTCACCACAAATCAAATTCTCTAGTTGTAATAATAATGACAACAAGTTCAGCTTTGCAGACTTTACTTAATTGGTCAAAAGGTGATTGATAATGTAAACAAAATTTGTTATATAAGGAACATATATATAAAATTTGATAGTTTATTTTTTTCAATTTTCAACTAAATTTATTTATATATGCATAATTATTTACGAAATAGAAAGTGGAGTTGTATCTGATGTAGAAGTTCAAGAAATACCAGATAAAGGCTTAGGTTTTGTCACTAAACAAGCTACATTGTGTGACAACAAAGTGGTGGCATTTATTCCTTTCTCACTCACAATCAGCAAAACAAAAATAAACAGATTTGCAAAAGAAAAGGCCCCAAAACTAGATGAAACTATTCAATTGTTGAAAAATAGTGGCCAAACATTAACAGAACGATTGGCAATAATATTTTATCTCCTGTATGAACGAGTTGGACGGGCTGCTTCTGGTGACCCACCATCTATATGGAAAGAATATGTGGACATATTACCACGTACATTACACACCCCATTATTTTATAATGAGTCATTGAAAACATGTCTTAATGGAACAAGTTTAAAAGCAGCAGTAGAGGCAAAACATAAAAAGCTTGAACGAGAGTATGCTTTGTTTCGTCCTTATTTTAATAATTGGACATTGTCATTACAAAACAACAATAACAATAATGTGGTAGTGGTGGATTCAGCAGTGACATTTGAGCATTATAAATGGGCCGATGGAATTTTTTGGTCAAGGATATTATCATTTGGCAGTCGTTTTGAATTTGCGCCATTGGATCAAACCCCTTATAGAACAGAATTGATGGATGATTATCATCTAGTGCCATATCTTGATTTTGCTAATCACTCATTAACACCATGTGCTCGGTGGGAACTTACAACCGAAGGTGTGGAATTGGTCTTAACAAAATTAGATTCAGATGAGCAACTTTTGCCAGAAACAGAAATTTGTATTTCATATGGTGATAAACCAAATTCAGAATTATTATTTATTCATGGTTTTACATTAAGTGATAATCCATGTTCTACTATATCTTTTAATTTACCATTTTATGAAACGGATGAATTAATACAGGCAAAACTGTTGTTCTTACAAGATCATGGTATCAAACCTTTAGTAACTTTAAAACGAAAAAAAGGAGGAACAGAGTTATCAGAATATTCCACGAAAGCTATGTGGTTATGTGTTTTGACTGAAGATTATGGTCTCAAAGTGTCAGAACCTTCAATTGATTCACCAACGATTGAGCTAATCATAAATGACAAGGTTATAGCCGATAAGATTTGAAGCTCGAGTCATGAACAATAACTTATCGGTTAACTTTTTTTAAAATGATACTATAAGCAATTAATTGATTATAGACGATCTGCACCAGTCAAGATTTTTCCGGAAAAATTACTTAAAAAGGAAAAGATATCTGTAATTTATCATTATTAAAATTTTGCTGGAAAGTCCGGGAAAATTATTAGTATTTCACTATTATCCTGACTGCGATTTGTTTCTTTAGTTTTATCTATGTACAACATTATTTAATTATGTTACACACTATTTAAACATAAAAAAAAAATTTCTTTGTCATCCAGTTCCCATTTTTTTATTGTATAAATATGATTTGATATTTTTATTAGTTATAATAAATCTTTGTTATAGTTTATTATTATGTAAAAAAACAAATTGAACCTTTTTGTTGGCACAGCCCATTTACGAAGCATCATATTTAGCTTTATTACACAGAGAGCAAGCCAATCCAAAAAAAAATTTGAAAATTCATTGTTGAATAAAAAGTAAGATAAAAGATCCTGGTTCTTATTAATTAATGATTTCATCTACACAGCATCAAGAATTCTCTTGTGTGATCTATACTTTTTTTTTTACTAAAATCCCTTCTTGTAACGTACATGTATATCCAATTTTTTATACGAATTGTTGTCAATGATGCCTTTTCTTCAAATCGATTTGTAAATTGATTTTTAGAACGATTTTAAGATTTTTTCAAAAGAATTGAACAAACGCGTTGTTACACAGATTTACTCTAATCTTATATATAGCTAAATAATTTCGTGTTGGTTAATTACTATTACTGGATAATAATTATTTTTTTTGACTTTTGCTAAATTTGGTAAATTAATCTTTATTAAATAAATATGCTTTATGATCGTGTAACTTCGTTCACCCAAAGTAATTTCTTTTTGTAGCTGTAATATATTATATGCATACATCTATGTAATATTCATTAAGTTTCTTTCTACTCTTTGATTTACTAAAGTACACAGAATATGATATAAAAGGAAGATGTTTTACACGTTAATAAATAATGTTGAATAAAATATAAATTTGTACAATTGTGTCATATAGATTTAACTATTTCATCATAATCTATCTCGAGATAAAAATTTCTAAAAAAAAATTATTATTTTTTTTTCTTTCATTAATTAATTAATTAATAAATTAAATTATTGTTTTTTTTACATTATTAAATAATTATAATATTATTAATAATAATGAATGATAATGAATATTATTTTAAAAGATATTCTCATAATGTAACAACTAAAGCAATTTCAGTCGTTGACTCTTATTTCCATTATTTTAAAGAAATACTTATTTCAAAATCATGGGAACCTTTGATTCATTTTGGTATATAGATTATAATTACTAACAACTATAATTACTATAATCAAAAAATTTTAATTACTAGTTTTATTTACAATATTAAATTTATTATATTTATGCGAACAATTTTTCATTCAAGCTCAAAACACTCTTTTATCTTTAATGGCACGAATTGACCAAGGTCATCTTCGAGTTTTAACCCAAGACCGCATTTATGAATTTGGTCCTAAAGACGCTAAATTAAAAAGTGAAATAAAAGTTGTTAATGATTCTTTTTGGATTCGTTTATTATTATTGAACCTTATTAATGGAATGATATCTTCTAGTATACATTTTAACTCTTTAAAATCATCCTTATTCCACTCTGAAATATCCTTTTCCAATTCTTCATTTTGTTTTATTCCCCATTGGATCACATAATTCCAAACATTAATTTCATCTAATTCCAAATCATCTCTTTGTAAAATATATAAAAGCATAGGCTTTCCTATTGTAGCCATGTTATCATATTTTAAAAATAAGAATGGATTTTTACAAATTAGTTCACTACAATAATCTCGAAGTAAAGTGAATGATTGATAGTTTGATGAAACTTTGTGGAGATAAATTAAATTTTGTTGAATCCATTCTTTTCCTTCTTTCAATAAATGAACTTGTAAAGCATCAATAAATTCATTAAAACATAATTCATCACATGCTTCAAGAAGTTCAAATATTTCATTTGGCTTTAGATTATCAATATTAATAACTCCATTATAAATATATCTTTAAAGAATAAAATTATATAATAATAATAATTTTAGAATCTTAATATTTATATGATATTTAAAAAAAAACACCAATCAATAAACTTACATTAAAAGAACTTCAAATATTTTTGGAGAAATATTTTCTTTTTGAAATAAAATAATACCTTCATCAGATCTTTTTACCCAATTATCTGATAAAGCTGTTTTAAAATACGATGATCTTGTTTTTAAAATATTGGAATGAGCTTTAAAAGTTTTAACATCCTGGTCCACTCCAACTCTGATTTCTATATCTAAAAACTTTGATTCA